CATGGTATTTCAACACCTGCAGTGCATGCATGCAGAACCGCATCACTTGGCAGAGCCGAACAAGAATCTGTTCAGACACCTGCAAATATGCCACGATGCGTATTCATATATGCAGAAAAATAAAACGTGATTTTATGGGTTACTAGCATCCAGGCGCAGCTTTAATCAATTTGTCAGCCGTAATCCCGTTCATATTTAGTTTTAAACACTTTTGAAATAGGATTTGCCTCTGTTTCTAAATTACTCTTTCTAAGAGTGCTGCATTTTCCCTGAAACCTAAGTCGATGTCTTTGCTGTCTAAAGTGCCTTCTCAAAAGTAGATTTTCTGGTGGAATAGAAATTAGCACCTGCTGTAGTCGTTAAGATGCTGTTCCTTCGATTAATATGCAAACAACTCTTTCTTGCCTCCGACATGGGACACCGGAGTTGTTATTTCATGAAGCTGCTCAAGCAGTGAAATTTATTATTACGGTTTTATTGTTGATTCTTTCATGTTCAGCTTGATGACTGTTAGTGTGCTTCAGCCATTCACGCACGTTCTGCCATTATTCTGTTCTCCCTGACTTTCATAATATTTCTTCTCACGTCACATCACTCAGTTTGACTGATTTCGCGGATGAACGTTTAATTTAGGTTTCGTACCGCTATCCTAAGCTCGCACTGTTCCCAAGTAATCCTGTAGTAGTCCCAGGCCTCTCGCGATATCATTGTATGGTTGCTGTTCGAGCTGTTGATCGTACCGAATGCATGATATTCAGGTTATCATATTCAAAATAGTTTAAGTTTGAAGTTCATAAAATTTATCCTCGGATGAAATTGCTTCAAAAGAGATTTACTAAACTAGTAGTAGGAAAGCCGGACAAGCATCACAAAAAGGGACAGCGTTTCTTAGGTCGCATGAAGCTACCTTTCGGACATTGAAATGCTTCTGAAAATTCTTCGACGTTTCGCAGAGTTAAGAGCACTTGCTCTTCCGCAGGAGGATGGTCTGAGTCGAACAGAGAAATTAGCGTTTGCACGCTCGTTAGTTCACACTGAGATTGTGCGTAGGACAGAAAAAATAGTTGCAAGTGGCTAAAATTGCTCAATGCTGACGGCAAGGGCTTAACCTCTAATGCCTGCAGCTGATCAACGAGTGCCGTCATGGCACCGTTCATCCCGATATCTTCGGCGAGCACTTCCCGTAAGACCATCTCGCCATTGAGACAGAGATTTCTGATTTGGCTGGAACAGACCTTGTTGCTGGATTGAACGAAACAGTCAGAAATGTTCTCGAATTCGTTCCAGTCGTTTTCGCTCAGCAATCCTTCCGTGTGATCCCTCGTATTTCGCTGCATGCCCTAAAGTAAAAAGTAGAAACATAATCGCATATTTTCTCACTCATACCAACTGATCGACTGCGTGACCTATCTCGTGACCAATGTGGAGCCCAATTGTGCTGAATATTGCAGTCGCTGGGAGATCACGTCCAAAAAGTGGAAAAATAAAATTTACTTGTGGCACAATCAAACCATTTCTGGGAGAAAAGTAAAATGCATTGATTGAAAAAAACTTGACTTCCACGTCAGACAGACTTGGGCTTTTATTGAGAAGGCTCAACTGCTTCTTACTGTTGAACGAATGGGCATTAATGAGGCATGTCAGGAAGGTGTCTTCTCCGTCGTCACATCTTAAAGACGCATAAAAGTCATCAACCTTCGCTTTGTCCGTTAGCCAGTTGTCATAGCCAATTATTGAATCTATGGTTTGCAACTTATAAGCAATATTTTGTTTCGATTTTGCGTCCATCCACGTTGATCTGAGCACTCTTTTCTGGACTGCTGATCGCACACGATTGTACATCATCCTGAAAATAGTAGTGCAACTGTTGTGCATTATAAAGAGTCACCTGATATGTATGCGACCCCATACTTATGGTTATGGACTGTATAATGCGTTGATGTGTTCTTATCTGCGGCAAGTCTTCATATCCATCATGGGTACGACCACATGTTGGAGGAGAGATTGGCCTATCTACAGCCGTATTGATGTGATTAATTCACGCATCTAATTAAATAACGAATTTCTCGTTAAAAATCCATAGTTAATGTGTTATCACGCTTCCCCATTGCTCCTAGTTGTCTGTGCAGGCAATTTAACAGGCTGCATGGTGTTTAAACAACGGCACCACTTATGTTCTTGTGAATGAATGTAGCCAGTTTTGCCTCTCAGAACTTCATTCCAGATCAGTGAGGTGGATTCAGAGGAACAAATGTTGCGAAATACATCTGGCATTAGAAGTGCTGAGATACTGTTGCCGTGGCCTTTTGAAATGCCCCATGTAAAATTACGAGCAGGGAGATGTACAACATGGCATGGTTTTTGAAGAGTCATTCGCTTTTTGACATATTCGAACGTACGATCTGCGTATGATGCTCACTTTTACAGTTGCTCGAAATTACTGAATATGGCTATACCTTTTAACACAGTTAATTTACATAACTCATGTAGATATCAATGAATGGATTTGCTAAACTAGGTAAGAGTTGCGTATGCAGAATTCACTAAAATGGTGATGACTGAATAACTTTTAATAATATTACTGATCATAGTGAGCTTTAACATCCTGCATTCTTTCTGCGTTCGGCCGCTTCTTGAGTTCTTTAACTGCGAGCATTAGAAGGTACGTTTGAATTCCGGACTGCCGGTTACGAAAAAGCGATCGAACCGTTAAGTCTAAGCGACTCATATTGCTTGCAGTAATTACCTCAGAAGTTGGTACTTATTTATTTAGGAACAAATACGCGTTCTGAGCGAGATGCCATTACAGTACGTCAGATAAGACTCGATAAAGTGTTTGTCGCGTTTAGAGAGGCGTAGACTTGTCACCCATCACCACCTTATTGTTGGTATGCTATGCTGTAAGAAGTGGAGTACCGTGCAAATATCTGGTGGCAGAAGCAACGAGAGAATCAAATGGGAAAGATTCCCTTCTGCGGTTGCTAGAGCGAAATTTGCAAACAGTATCGCACGATGGTGTCAACAGATTCCGGTGATGGCCATTGGTGCGGAAACTGGGTGGCAGCTCTTTAAGAGCGGATTACCCGAGTCTGCCGCCGAATGCTGCGGATATAAACGGGTTGGCCTGACGCTTGGAGGTCAGAAAATAATTTCCTGGTGGACAAGAGAGGAACAACATAAGAGAAGAAGGGTGCACTCAAGAAATGGCTTGGAAACAAAGAGCCTTATACTTATGTGCGATATGTCGAGCGACGCAAGGCAGCAGCGAAAGCAGTGGCGAAAGCCAAAGCTGATCTCTGTAGACGTTCGTTGACGTGTTGGAGTCGAATTTCCACACGGCAAACAAAGTATTCTGGCAGACCATCCGCCGACTCCGAGGTGAAAAGACGGGTAGTCTCAGAGTCTTGAAGGACAGATCTGGACACCTTCTTACCAAGGATAAGGACATTCTTCAGCGACGGAAAGAGTACATTGAGCAGACCGTTCATCGCGAGCAACGGCTGGAAGACTAGTCTGTAGAAGAGCAGAAAACGTATATTATTTCTGTAGATGAAACCATGCAAGGTGTGAAAAGTTTGAAAAACGGAATTGACGAAATCCGTGCTGATTTGCTCAAAGCAATAGACTAACAACATATATGCTGTATTATACGTTTCTGTCAAACGGCAAGGGCTAAGGGGAAGACACCTGCGGACTGGGTAGAGGGGTTTTGGTTCACTTTTTCAAGAATGGCGACTACAGCGAATGCTCTATCTTGACTTTTTCTGGTAAAGTCTAAGCAGAAGTGTTCGAAAGGAAATGCTGCGGAATATCTGACTCCAAGTTACAAGAAGAGCCGTGTGGTTTTCGGCCTGATCGAATCGCATTTCACCAGATCATTGTGAAATCGTAGGAGTTCGCCCGTCTGCTGTACATGCGTTTTGTTGACCTACGTAAAGCCTATGACCGGATCTCACGCAACAGTGTGTGGGCATGCATGCGAAAATTTGAAATCGACGGGTAGTTGTTGAGGGTCATCCAATTACTACATGTTGTTAGCAGGTGCTGCGTCAGCGTAAATGGCGTTAAGTCGAAGCCTTTCAACGTTGGTACTGGTCTCCGCCAAGGCTGCGTCCTGTCCCCTATCCTGTTTGTGTTGTACATGGATAGAATAGTCA